ATAATCGATCTTTATGCAGTTAAATGCGACTTTTGTAATGGGAAAATAAACAACAAAGGGGAGACTGTTCATATTAAGACCACCACCAACAAAGGCAAAAAATTTATTGTGTTTTAAGACATTTTAATGCAAAAAATAATATTTTTAAAAATATATTTAGAGTCGCATGAATCACAAGAAAATACATTGTGAACGTTAAATAGAGACAATAAATGCGGAGGAAAATTTTACACCTTTATTGTGTCCTTATAGAGTACCATAAATGCGTACAGAAATTCACGAATATTGTTCTCTAATTCTTATTCTAAATTAATGCAAAATAACACGTATTGCCTAAGAGGCCAAGAATGTTACTTACTTAGCTGGCTTGTGGCAGAACTTTCGTTACATAAGTGGAGCTTAAGAAAGATTTCCAGGCGAGTCGGCCTTTTGAGCAGTTTTTCCAGTTTGAAAGATCATAAAAAAATATTTCCAGCTGGTTCGCTTTTATAGTCGGCCTTTTGAGCAGTTGGTGTTCAGATTCGAGAATAGGTGGTACAGCTCATAGTTTATTCGACCGCGATATTCACTGTCACCAGATCTGATCCAAATAATTTACAATTTGGCTGGAGCTCTCATAAGTGCACTAAATTTGTTAATCTCCGTGGATGGTCCATTTATTTGCCGATATGATTGGAACTTCAGCAAAAAGGGGACAGACGATATGTGCCAACTATAGAGATATAAATCTCCGTATCACCGCATATAAAGTGCTATCGAGCGTGCTATGAGAACGACTGAAGCCAATTGCCAATTACATTATTGGACCATACCAATTCGGCTTCAGACCTGGCAAATCCACCATTGATCAGATTTTCACTCTGCACCAAATCCTGGAAAGGTCCACGAAAAACACATTCCACCTATTCGTCGACTATAAAGCCGCATTCGACAGTCCTATCCGTTCAGGAGTATTTAAAGTCAAGTATGCGTTCGGCATTCCTGCCAAATTAATACGGTTATGCAGGATAACTTTGAGTGGCATAAGGTTAGCAGTTGAAGTAGGAAAGGACCTCTCGGAGCCCTTCAATACCGAACGAACATTCAGACAATGTGACCGTTTGTCGTGTGACCTATTTAACATCCTGCTGGAAATGGTCATACGAGATGCAAATGTGAACAGAAATGGCACTCTGTACACCAAACAGCATATGTTACTCGCCTAGGCCGATGACATCGACATAAAGGGTCGAACATTGCGAGGGGTAACAGCCACCTTTGAACGAATTTGAAATTCAGAGGGGGGAGGATGCCGATACTACCCGTGCTGTTGTATGGATCTGAAGCATGGGTACTTGCGCAACCAGATAAGGCAGCTCTTGGAGTGTTTGAGAGAAAAATTCCCCGGTCGATGGTGAATATCGCCGTCGAATAAACCATGGGCTTTAGCATCTATTCTCTGACATCGACATAGTCAGGCGTATCGAGCTGCAGCGACTACGTTGGATAGGCCATGTTGTGAGAATGGATGAAGATTCCTAAGCTCAATAGGGATATAAACGCGAACCAGTTGATAGTTTACGCTAAATGGGAAGGCCACAAATCCGATGGAAAGATCAAATAGATGACAAATCTCGGAAAATGGTCTTTCAAATTGGATGAGATGCGCGCAAGACCGATGCGCTTGGAAATCTTTTTTAAGTCCGGCATATGGAACAACTGTTCTGTCATAAGCCAGCTAAGTAAGTAATTAACTCCTCTTAGGGGCGTCGAGCATCCGGAAAACATTGCAACCTTGTTTTCGTTTTTTTAATCATCGTTTTTTTTATTTCCTCTAAGTAGATAATTAGTCAGATGATGGGGCTGCCATCTGCCGTTGCGAGGACACAAAGCCGCCTAGAATTTTGTTAATGGTTAATGTCCTTGATAATTTAGTGTTGCCATTTTCCTTTGGGTGGCGTCATTCCTATTTTGTGTTATCCACATGTGTTGAAGGAATGTGAGGGGGATTACGATGCATTTCCTGGGAACAAGGATGTAAGCTTTTTTTACAAATTTAAACTGCACTACTTCATCCTCGTAAAAAAGGTTCACTTTTAACGTATCCAGATTTTAATGTATATCTTTCCTATGTGGGTCAATAAAATGTCCAAAAATTATCCATCATATGTAATGCTTGGTAAAGCAATTTCAGTATTACCCTCCAGTATGTCGTGCAACAAAATTCACTTGATCTTTCATCGAATTCCCCTACGACGTGAACCCTCATTGCCTCGTTTTATATGCCTTTTGAGCTACGGCGTCCTCATCCATTCGCTCAACATGGTCTAGGCATCGTAATCGCTTCAGCTCGATACATATGACTATGTTGATGTCCGAGCATAAATGTTAAAATTTGTGATTGATTCGATAACGATTTTCACCGTCTGTTTGTGAAAGTACCAATGCTTCAGATCTTTACGTCAGCACGGGTAGTACCAGCGTCTTGTAGAGTGTGATTTTGGTCTGGCGAAAGATGGCCTTTTTTATAAATTCTTTAATCAGACCTAAGTAGCATCTGTTGGCCAACGTTGTCCTTTTCCTAATTAAAAAACGGATGCCATTAATATTTTTATGGCGGTACCGAGGTATATAAAATCATTGACTACCTCAAAGATGTAAATTTATTGCCAGTCCCACTTTGCGGACACCTTCAAGGGTTGCTCTTACCGCTCACCGGACCTGCAATAATTATTTCCAATGGTAGTAGCTATGAAGGATATATTGTGTAGGCGACCAACTTGGAGTTCTACTTGAAATAGCTTCGGCTATGAACCTGATATAAGGTTTTCGATAGCACAGTTGGTGTTAACCATTCGGGGTTTATAGAGTTGAATTACCGCTGGGTGTTTGACCCATATAGTAGGAGTTTTCTTCATCCAAGGGCTTTGTATTAACTGATATCTACAGCATCGTGGGGTAAGACCCACATACACTAGCATCTCTGCCAATAGAAGCACAGAGAGGACCGCATGGAAAGGACTAGCTACCATAATAGAACCCAACAGGGAATTCTACATAAATGACCCTGAAGACGTTTCAAATTTCTTCAGTTCATTGGCAGAAGTTTCGGATACGAAAGCGTGTAGAAGCTAGTCTGTCGGGGATCATTCCCGAACTATCAGGCTTGTGGAACAGTTGTTGGGATCGGGTGGAATGCTGCATAATGACTACCAATGTAGTAAGATGTTAGTGCTTTTTATCCCCGTTCTTGGATTGTTTTAATGTAGAGAGCCTGCAATAATTAGACCAATGGTAGTAGCTTCAGCTATGAAGATGGGCAAAGGCTATTGGAAATAACATCGACTATGAACCTGATCGAAGGTTTTCGGTAGCACGGGTTTGGCCAGACAACACCTACGATCTAATCAAATTGGATGGAAAGGAGTAGTTACCATAATAGAACCCAAAGGGAAATTCTATATAAATGCCCCTGAAGATACACACAGTTAGATGCTTCACCTGTCCTCAATTCACTGTCAAGAGAGTCTGCAGCTATTAGATCTAATGGTAGTATTTTTGCAATAATTAGATCTAATGGTAGTATTTTCGGCTATGAAGCTAGGCAAAGGCTATAGTTTGTGGGCGATCAGTCCCAATTTGTTGGGATTTCTCCGGGAAAAAGCTTCCGATATGTACCTGACCGAAGTCTTTCCGTAGCACGGTTGTCTGATCCCCTAGGTATGCGGATCTAGCTTGACAGTTGGTGTTGGACCTTCGGGGAGCATCGGGTTGAAGGTGGTTTATACCCAAATCGCACTACAACCGTGTGTTTGGCCCATATAAAGGCATGAGTTTTCTGTGGGCTCCGCTACTCTGATCACGTCGGAATACGTGTGATCGATGTATCTGGACTTTGATGTGGGGACGGTGGTTGGCGCTTTGTATTAACTAGTGTTAACAACACCGTGTGGGAACACCGCAAGGTAGGCTCCCACGTACTTTATGCTTCTCCGCAAGAGAAGGACAGAGAGGATATGATCAATTGAAAGCTGCCTTCAGCAATGATAAAGCCCCTACCATGTTATCTTATGTGGTAGAAGTGAAATTGAATGGAAAGGTGTAGCTACCCTAATTGAACCCATAGGGAAATTCTATATATATATGCTCATGAAGATATATACGGTTAGGCGCTTCAAATTTCTTCAGTTAGCTGTCAAGGGAAGGTCAGAGAAGATCGCACTAATTACTATAGGGCAGGATAGCAAGTTTCTAATCAGAGTAACTTGTTCCAATGATGCTCATTCATGCTATTGAGCTTTAAATGTCAGACCATGGCCCTCAAGAACGGATCTAATTCAACGAATTTTAATTGTAAGATGGGAAACTACAAGAAATAACAGAAGTTCTCTAGAAGTGTTAGATGGGCTCAAGCTCTTTATGTGTTTATTATGATGCCTGAAACCACGAACAGGTAGAGACAATCTGTTCGTTCATTTCCTACTCATGGACAGACCATTGGTTCAAAAAAATCAGTTGTTCCGCCATGAAGATTTAGAAGAACTACCTGTGGCTGTACAAGGCCACCCAAAAACTCTCAAATGCCCGAAGAAAAAATGTTTTCATAGAGAAACCTTAGTTCGAAATTTAAGATTTCTTCCAATCTTCTTACCATTTTAGTCGTATAGAATATTTAGTACTTTTTTAATACAGTTTAGTACTTATTTCCGAAATTATAGATGAATTCTAAATTCTGGAGTATAATGTTTGGACTATCATATTATTAAATTATTTTTTAATATTGGATTTTAATTTTGCAATGTTTTCTTTTTTATTTCATTTCAGCTTTTTAAACTCTTCAGCAAAGGACATCATTCCACTGACATTTTAAATAAAAATCAAAAAACAAAAGAATAAATAATGGACCTAACCACCACCAGATAGTGAGTGCTGCTGTCACAAAACTTTGCACCATCACCGCCACAATATTATCACTTTGAAACTGTGCCATATAACAAAAATATCCTCTGTGCCCCGCCACCATGAATCGTTCCACACACGGCAGCATCAAGTCATCATCATCCTCTGCGTCCAACAACAACACCACAATGATGACCACAATGCGTCTCAGCAAATCCTTTCAAAGTAAAATGGACAAAATGTCCGAACGTCTGTATGACGTTGTCAAGAGTGGCTTCATGATTAAACGGGCCCAGAACAAGAAACGTTTTACACCGGTCAACTATAAACAGCGCTGGTTCGAATTGACCAAACGGACACTCTCCTATTTTGATGTGGAAAATGTTGAGGTAAGTTCGGAATGACACATGGGGTGATGGTTTAATTTATTTAATAGAGTATGGGAAATTAAATATGAAAGAAATTATTTTTATATTTTCCATTTTTGGTGAAAAAGGAAGAGCAATATGGATGATAAGGAGGAGAAGAGCACTCATACATGAAGGTGTGTTCACGTAGCGAACATATATTTTCTTATAATAAATATAGTGAATGTCTTGTCGCTGTGGATCTCTTGAGCAAAGGAGAGAAAATTTAGTTAAACACGGATCTATTTTTGTATACTGTCAACTTGAGATAAACGCCTTCTTGTAAAAGGTGTTACACTAGAACATAATAAGATTTTCCCATGGGAAGTAATCCAGACTACAGACTGATAAGCATGTGTATACTTTTTCTTGCCAAATATGAGATAAATATATGTGTGGGTCCATTCGCGGGCTCTCTTCCACTTTTTTACTAAGTTAGGTTAAGTTATGTTATCAACATAGATCTTAAGTCCTCCTTAAAAAGTATTCTTTAAAAAACCACGCCTATTTATAGTCATTGGAAAAAATTCTTTAAAAATCCACGCCTATTTATAGTAATTGGAAGAAAAATTCTTTAAAAATTTACGCCTATTTATAGTCCTTGAAAATTATTCTTTGAAAATCTACGCCAATTTGTTTGATCTTCCGTAGCAAGATTTTCAGATGTCTTCCTAAGGAGGCAACTTGGTATTCTAGAATAGGAACTCTCGGTCCTTTATAGGAATGCCTTTTATATAAACAATAAGTTGACCTTCACGTTTTCAGTATACGACTTCTTTCAGACTTCTGGCTCATCTCCTTTCTTGGCCTTCCTGTCTTCTGCGAGTAAAACCTTCTGATCTTCCATAAGGAGACATTATTTTCCATAATGTCAGGACCTTCATCAGGAACACCTTTTGAATACCCTTTAAAAAGGGCCTTAATCAGCTTATATGTAAAAGAATTGTGCCTTCAATACCTTTATACCATAGATTTAGGGCGATGGATCTCGGAATATGATCTGTGCAGAATGTTAGTACACTAGATTGAGGAGTTCCTACTTCTATGGAAAGACTTGGAGGTCTTTTATTCGAGAAACATTTTTTTCCAAGATTACCTTCTCGTTGCCAATAGAAGATGCTTCTAGACATCGAATGGAATGACTTTCTTGGAATTCCTGTCTTCTATAAAAACCTGGTCTGGTCTTCTAGAAGTAGACACTATTTTTCTTTCTGTAAAGTTCCATGTTCAGGAATACCTTTTTAATAGCCCTTTACAGAAGGCCATCATATGCTTATATGCAAGAACAGTAGGTCTTCTACAGGAAGAGATGTAGGTTTTTAAAATAAGGTCATTTGTATATAGGAATAAATCTTGTCTTCAAATGGGAGAACAGCTGATGTGAAGACTTTTTGATCTTTTCTATATTCAAAAAGAAAACCTTTCGATCTTTCATAGGAACAATTTGTATCTTTAGTAGGATGACCTTCTTCCCGATGGTATTCAAATTATCAATTGAATACTTACTAGGCTTCTATATGAACCAGTTTCCTTTTTTAGACATAGACTTGATGAGGAAGAAGTACTTCACCACTTCTAGGAAGCAGACCTATAGCTGTTCTATGAAATTAGATATTCAACTCTTCTACGAAGAATATCTTAACCTGCTTCTATGAATAAGTCCTTCAAATCTTTTATGAAGACGACTTTAAGCTCTTCTATGACGAATACATTCAGCGCTTCTATGACGAAGACATTCAGCTTTTCTATGAGGAAGAACATTTTTAGCTCTTCTTCTTCTGCTGCTTCTATGAAGATCTTCCACTATGAAAGAAAAAAGTGTCAGCTCCTTTAAGGAGAAGAAAATCTCATCTATGAGGAAAATAATACCTTCAGCTCTTCTATGCGGAAGAAGACCTTTAACTCTTCTATGAAAAAGACCTTCACCTCTTCTATGAGTAAGAAAACCTTCAACTGCTACCATGAGGAAGAAAACCTTCTACTGCTTCTATGAGGAAGAAAACCTTCGAATGCTTCTATGAGAAAGCTTTTTATGAAAAAGACCTTCAGCTCTTCTGTGAAAATGAAGACCTTCAGCTCTTTTATGAGGAGAAAGACCTTCAGCTGCTTCTATGAAGAAGACCTTCAGCTACTTCTATGACGAAGACCTTCAGCTACTTCTATGACGAAGACTTTCAGCTACTTCTATGAAGAAGACCTTCAGCTACTTCTATGAAGAATACCTTCAGCTACTTCTATGAAGAAGACCTTCAGCTCTTCTATGAAGAAGACCTTCAGCTCTTCTATGAAGAAGACCTTCAGCTCTTCTATGAAGAAGACCTTCAGCTGCTTCTATGAAGAAGACCTTCAGCTGCTTCTATGAGGAAGACCTTCAACTGATTCTATGAAGAAGACTTTCAGCTACTTCTATGAAGAAGACCTTCAGTTACTTCTATGAAGAAGACCTTCAGCTACTTCTATGAAGAAGACCTTCAGCTACTTCTTATGAAGAAGACCTTCAGCTGCTTCTATGAAGAAGACTTTCAGCTACCTCTATGAAGAGGACCTTCAGCTACCTCTATGAAGAAGACCTTCAGGATTTTTATGAAGATGATGACGAAGACCTTCTGCTACTTCTATGAAGAAGACCTTCAGCTACTTCTATGAAGAAGACCTTCAGCTACTTCTATGAAGAAGACCTTCAGCTGCTTCTATGAAGAAGACCTTCAGCTGCTTCTATGAGGAAGACCTTCAACTGATTCTATGAAGAAGACTTTCAGCTACTTCTATGAAGAAGACCTTCAGCTGCTTCTATGAAGAAGACTTTCAGCTACCTCTATGAAGAGGACCTTCAGCTACCTCTATGAAGAAGACCTTCAGGATTTTTATGAAGATGATGACGAAGACCTTCTGCTACTTCTATGAAGAAGACCTTCAGCTTTTTATGAAAAAGACCTTCAGCTCTTCTGTGAAAATGAAGACCTTCAGCTACTTCTATTGCGAAGACCTTCAGCTACTTCTATGACGAAGACTTTCAGCTATTTCTATGAAGAAGATCTTTAGTGGCTTCTATGAAGAAGACCTTCAGTGGATTCTATGAAGAATACTTTCAGCTGCCTCTATGAAAAAGAGCTTCAGGTGCTTCTATGAAGAAGACCTTCAGCTCGTCTATAAAGATGACCCTTCAGCTCTTCTTTGAAGAAGACCTTCAGCTCGTCTATGAAGAAGACCTTCAGTTGTTCTATGAAAAAACCTTCAGCTGCTATGAAGTCCTTCATTCTACTCTGTTTTATTGCAAAGGAATTTAAGAAATATTTCAATTATTTCAATGGTCTTCATTAAAGCTGAAAACAAAGTGTTCAAAAATTCCATGCTTATTACCTTTGAAGTCAAGATATCCATCCATCCACGCATTTCAAGTTCTTGGCAACATCAGCATCTTTTGTCCTCGCATCCTACCTGCTTACTGGTGGATCAGCAGCAGGTATGAGTCTCTCGTGCCTTTGTCTCCATTGGTGACAAGTGAAGTCTTCACATCATTAACATCTGTTTGTTCTTTTCTGTTTCTCTAACTCCAGTCGAAAATCCGCACCCCCTAAGACCTAAATAATCTCCATGGTTAGTCTTCTTGTTTTTCATGTTTCGTATATACAGAACTAAGGCATTATATTATAAAAATGTGATTGTGTTTATCGCTATTGTTGTTGTTGTTTTCCTTTATGCGAATTATATAAACACAACACCAAGAATAAAGAGAATGTTTTTCCTATTTTCCCCCTCAGATCTCGTAATCATCCGGTGTTCTATTATTGTTATTATCATTATTTCGTTGCGTGGCATTGTTTTATAACACTCCAACCGGCTTCCCTCTGCACTCCACCCCCGCTGCTTCCTCAGCTAATCCTTAATTTTTTCTGACCATTTTTTGTGGGGTGTGGGTTATTCTAAATGCCGGCTACGCAGTTTGATTCTTCGCAAAGCCTCCCTCCTTCACCAATTTTTGTCTACTTTGCCGGTTAATATTTCTCTATTCATTTGTCCAAAAACTCCGTTCAGGCGACTGCTCTTCATCGTCATCTGCAAAAGTCTAGTCGTCCTTTACGGCGTTTTTTGTTTTTGTCATAACCGGCATTTGTTGTTTTCGCATTTCGTAATAAAAATATTCGCTCTCCGTCTCTTCGTATTTTGATTTGTGTTCCATATGCCGCCTTCTATTTATTGTTGTTATCTATGTCGCCCGATTCTTTCGCCCTAGTGATGTTAGTTGCAAACAACAATGTACCTTGCCAGTCGGCTTGGTGTGTCGTCGTCCTTCCAATCTCCAATGTTTTGGTATAATAACATGGTTGATGGTTCGCTAATCAGGAGAGATGCCGGAAAATCAGGGAGATACAAATGTTATGGACAAACACACCCTATCAATAACTCTCTCGCAGATTTGGAGAGAAAAGCTTCCAAACGGAGAGAATTGTTTTGGTGAACGTGTTCTTCATAGAGGAAGCGGAATGTTTTCTTTCATTGAAGAGCTAAATAGTCTTCTTCATAGACGCAGCTGGATATCTTCCTTCAGAATACAACTAGAGGGTTTCTTCATAGAAGAACTGAGGGGCTTCTTCATAGAAGGACTGAAGGTATTCTTCATAGAAGGACCGAAGATCTTCGTAAAAGGGCTTAAGGTCGTCTTCATAGAAGGCCAGAAAGTTCTCTTCATAGAAGGGCTGAAGGTCTTCTTCATTGAAGGGCTAAAGGAACGAAGGTATTCTTCATAGAAGGACCGAAGATCTTCGTAAAAGGGCTTAAGGTCGTCTTCATAGAAGGGCAGAAAGTTCTCTTCATAGAAGGGCTGAAGGTCTTCTTCACAGAAGGACTGATGGTCTTCTTCACAGAAGGACTGAAAGTCTTCTTCACAGAAGGACAGATGGTCTTCTTCAGAGAGGAGCTGATGGTCTTATTCATAGAAGGGCTGAAGGTCTACTTCATATAGGTGCTCAATGTCTTATTCA